GAAGAAGAAGAAGAAGAAGAAGAAGAAGAAGAAGAAGAAGAAGAAGAAGAAGAAACAGGAAAGCCATTTTATACCCAACTCATACTTCAGTAATTTCACGGACATGCCCGGCATCCCCAACATCCGCCAGCAGGTGGCGGCGTTGCCTCGTCCAGAGAGCTCGGGGCTGATCCAGATAATACTATCCGCCTTCTGCAGGGGGGAGAGGAAGATCCACTTGGAAGCTCCCCCTCTTCACCCACCCAGGGAGCCCACGGCAGCCACCCGAAATGACCTGAAAGGGACGGTGGGGCAGGAGGTCCAAGCGTCCCTCGACTCAACCCTGCTTGCAATTAAAAATAAGTTTAAAAAAATCAGCATCGGTCACAAATGCTGGGTGTGGAGTGTTGAGTTCGCATCCACGGCAGCCCCACCCTCTTCAGAAGCACCAGATGGCCCCCCTTCCATTTCTGAGAGCAAAAAGATCAGCGGCTGAGAGGGGACACCGATGCTGAAATAAGTCAATGAGGGGGAGATGGGAACTGGTGGGTGACCTACTTTGGGGGTTTCGGGAGGGCTAGCTATAGAAGCAGCACCTAGCCAACCCTGGCCAATCTCAAAACACTGAGCAGGGTGGGTCCCGGTGGATGGGAGGCCACCAGGAGATCCCAGGGCTGCAGGCTAGGCTGGAGTGTCAGGAAACACACCCTGGAAAAGAACAAGGGCAAGCCACCCGAGTCCTGTTCTCATGAACACTTCCTGGAGAGGTCTCTGAAGTCCCAAGTTCAAATCCAAAGAACGCTGGAAGGGGCCTTGAAGGTCATTTAGTCCAGTCCACTCCTCAGGGCAGGAAATCTGTAATGCCCTATCCCCAGCAAAGGAGAGAAGCCACCTTTCCTGGGGGAACCTTTTCTGCTGTTCAAGTACTCTAACGTAACAAACATCTCATGGAAACCTCCTTCCCAGCATTTCCTGGCTAACCGGCTCTAAAGTTTGCTGGTTTGCCTTCACAAGTGACTTCCTATCTCAGCCTGGCCTACCTCGCTGGGATGAAGGTGGTGCAACACCCCCCTCTTTTGAGGCATTTGTGAAATTACACCAGGATAAAATAAGGAAAAAACCATGCCAATGAGAACTATGGGTAGTCCTCGATTTATGACCACAATTGGGACCAGCACTTCCATCGCTAAGCAATGCCGTCATTAAGTGAGTCGCACCCGATTTTACCACCTTTTTTGCCGCATTCATTAAGCGAATCCAACTTCTCCATTGACTTTGCTTGTTGGAAGCAAATGGCGATCATGTGACCTGGGATGCGGCAACCGTCATAAATGCATGCCAGTTGCCAAGCGTCTAAATTTTGATCATGCAACCACAGGGACACTGTGATGGTTGTAAGTGCAAGAACCGGTCATAAGTCACTTTTTCAGCACCGTCATAACTTTGAACAGTTACTAAACGAAAGGTCATAAGTTGAGGACTGCCTGTAAATGGAACATGGTTGTTCAGACACAGTCTATCTGCAAACACAGAACTGCTGCTGTATTAGTGGTCCTGCTACGACCTTCTGCCACAAGGAAGGGCTGGATCAGGGCACACATTTTCCCAGTTGACAACTACACCCATTACTGACATGCTCCAAAAAGCAGGTGAACTCAAGGCAAACTAAACTCAATTTAAATATGCTTAAAATTCACTGGGTGCGCACGCCTCCTACGTGTTTCATAATTTCTTCCCTTTTTTGGAGGGGGCCCTGAAGTCTGCAGCCATTTTGGGGAGGGGCTGTTTCACACATAATGGGAGGGTGACAAAATCAGGAAGGCTGACTTAATTATTGTTCTTTTTTTGTTTGTTTAAAACCAGCTTCTTAATCACAAGAATTCTGAGGAAGGAAGGAAGGAAGGAAGGAAGGAAGGAAGGAAGGAAGGAAGGAAGGAAGGAAGGAAGGAAGGAAGGAAGGA